ACCCTGGACCCCCTGGGCCTCAGAGCCCCCCCATATATAGTGAGGAGCTCCCCCCACTCCTTCAGTCCTCCTCCCTCCCCGCAGCGCCCCCATGGTGGCAGCTATATGGTGAGGAGACCCCCATGGACTCCCCCCCCTTGAAGATGCTCCTCTGCCCCAGGCCGCCCCCCCCTTTTCGGGGCGTTCAGTGTCCCTTGTGCAGTGAGGCAGCCCTGGGCACCTCCCTACCTTGGGGGCATCCTCCCTGCCCTGGGATCAGGGCCCCCGCCCTGGTGTGTGTGTGTCTGTGTCTGAAAAAAATCCCAAGGAGGTCCCCCTCCTATATCGTCAACCACATGCTGAGACCCTGTGTCTCTGGTCTCCTCCATCCCAGACACCTTCTTGCCCCTCCACATCCTCATATGGGAAACTACTTTCATGAAGTTTGCCAGGAAGGACTCTTGACCCCTTCTCCCTCCCCTCATCCCCTCTGTCTCAGCAGTGGCAATTCCCCAAATGTTGGGAAACCACAGAGCCAGCCTTCTCAACATCCTCATTGGTAGTTTAAGATGCACAATGAGGAGATGCCAAGATCCTGTTCCCATTCACTCCTAAACCCTTGGAGCCCATGCTGAACATTGACAGTCTGGGGAGGCTGGGGGTTTCCCATGGGCGTGGGGTGAATGTGGGGGGGGGGGGCGAGGGGAGGGTTGAAATGAATATCTGAGGAGTACTCTGAGCTCCTTACCTGTCAGTCTCCTTTCGATCCTGTCTCTTTCTGTGATGGCACACACAGTCTTGCACCGCTCATATACCTGGATGGACTGGACAGGATTGGAAATGAATGTCCGTGGCAGATAAAGATCTGAAATCCATCATCCTACTAGAATATTCTTCTGATCGTAGAATTCCCAAAACCTTTTCCTTCTCCCTTCAAACTGATTGTACTCCTTTTCAGGGCTGGAAAACCATCAGCCTAAGCCACCCATTCCTATATAATTTGCTGATCGTTATTATTTATGAAGCTTTCTAGCCCCTATGGTAGTGAAGAATACCTCCCAATTATGACCCAAGACGTCTTCCTGAGTCAAAAGATGCACAGGTGTTTCTTCTGCTGCTCAGAACTTTGCCCAACATCAGGCCAAAACTTCTGTCTGCTTCACTGCTGCCAATAGAAACTCTCCAGAAACTGTGAAATTAACAAGACTCTTGTCAGTTTCACTTGCTGTCTCTGAGTCTCACTGGTGCGGTTTTCACTTGGTAGCCATGGTTCCTTTTGTGTTGGCCTTGGCTGGTATGAATTTGGCAAATTTTTCAAACCTTGAATTGTTACGTTGCAATGGAATCTATTAACTCGCAGAACCCTTGGGTGTGAAATATTTACCCAGAGGAAGGCAGGCCAGCCAAAAGTTGGGTGCGAACCGCAGACTAGTAACATGATTATATCAAATATGTATTATAATGAAACTACTGCCGAAACTACAAGGCTGCATTCTGTAGAGCCAGAATAGGGTTTAGAAAATATGAGTTGTGACCTCTCCCAAAGATTTGTGATTTTTTTTTTTTAAATGAACTGTTGACAATTAGTGTAGTTTTTACTTTGTGTCACTGGCCTTGTTGCGAGAAGGCATTTGGGTGAGGCTAAAACTGGTGGAGCCCAACTTTGCACCGTGTAAAGCAAATCCTAGTCTAAATTGTTTTGTATGCTTACTGACGGGCAGTTGTTCATGCAAGCCTGTGTTTGAGGAGTCCTCTGACTATGGCATCACAGAGCCATTTGTACATGAGGTGGAATCACTTGTGCTGTGAACAAATGGATTAGGCCAATTCTTATCATGCAGGAACTGTGTGTAAACAAGGCCTGTTGCAAATGAAAAAGAACAGTTGAACCTGTGCACAAGTGGCCAGCCCTGAACAAATATTGACAGGAAAACACCTTTTTACTTCACAGTTAGCCAAAAAACCTGCCAAGGATGTCAAATAACAGAAGCTGGAGTAAGAGTGATGCTTTGAGTCATATCCGGCTGGTGGACTAATGCATAGCTGCCCAACTGGGACATGTGCTTTCTGGGAGCTCCTTAAGTCAAGGGCCTGAGACTAGATAGGCATATAGCTGTGAGTTTTATTGATCATATCCTCTGTCTGCGTATTTGTGCCATAGTACTATCTCAATGTCCAAAACCCTGTCCCAACCTAAACAGGCCAGAATATACTACGTAGGAAGGATTTTCTGCAACCCACTCACCCTTTTGGTTGTTCCAAAGACTTGGTTAGAAATCTGAAGGGATTTTCCTTGGGCAGTTACAGGTCACATAAGGAGCCTGGTCTTCCTACTGAAAGGTATTAAAACAGATTTAGTGTGTGAATATAGTAGGCTTGCATCCAAGCACCTCTATTGTCCAGGATGCTTTACTAGGCACCGGTTGTACAGGTTGGGGCACTATCTCAGATTCTGCTGAATTGATCCAGCGTGAACAGGAAGCCACAAGCAAAGCAGCTGTCCCAGAGCCGCCAATCTTAATTCCATTCTGGAAATGTACCCAAAGCTCCTGCTTATGGGCAAGGCCCCACAACATGGCAAGCAGAGTCTAACTCTGAGCCAAAGTCTCTGGGGAATTGGAGAGGAAATTCTGCAACAACTTTGGTTTAAGAGGTTTTTTCTGTAATATGAATAATATTGTTCCCGTAACGCTGTGGCATTTCTTGTGCAATTGTGGAATAAAAAAATTTGCTGGAGATTTGCTTCAGTGGTCAGCTGCGAGAGTGTTGGCTGTGTCATTGCCATCTGTAGGTTTCAGCATTAACGGCTCCTTGAAATGAATGAGGTGGGTCGCACCTCATGGTTCTTATTCAGGCTGTGTGCTCTCTAAAGAATGCAGAACTGTATGTCAGTTTCAGTGTATTTTTCAGGGTTATCTTTGCAACTATAAGGGCTGGAGACATTTTTTTTTTTTTTTTTTTTTTTTAAAGAAATGTGCATTCTAGAGCCCATTTTGCTGCAAAGGATGAATTCCATGGCTATGGAAAACACAAGGCCCTAGCTACTGGATAGGCCCATCTGGAGGGCCACCGTGTGTTTGTATAATCACAATTGGGAGGGTACACCAAAATGGTGATCTAAAATAATTATAGTTGGGCCAAACGATTCCATGGACAAATCAGACAAACAGCCATTTTATGTAATCCGTCTGCTTGTTTTGTGAAGATACACCCTGGGGTCTATTAACGTATTCTGGTAACAGCTAGGCCTCCCTTGTGATTAAACAGGCTTGCTAGTAGCTGATGCAAAAACAGCACACGGTGGGCAAAAATAGATGATGTCTGGAGATGTTCGTGCAGGCAGGCTGGGAGATTTTTTTATATCCGTTTAGGCGTATTGTCTTTAAACGCTGTTTTATCCATAGTGGCTAAACTAAATGTAAATGGAGTGGATCTGAACTGGTTTATGATTGTATTTTGATACTTTGTGGCCCTGTGTAGACCAGACCAGCAATAATGATAGTTGACATGTGAATCAAACCTGAAACCTTGTTTCACCTCTCTTCCCCCCACCCCTAAAAGTGTGAAAAGTTGTGCAAATAGAGAGCCAGGAAGATTCTGAGTTCGGTTTGTGAATGGCTCATGAGTTGCAGTGAAGAAGTAAACCATTTAAAATATGGTATCCTTTGGGGACTTGCTCAGGATGCTGCTGTCGTGGCTTTTGGGAGAGAACAGAAGATTTGGGATTCTTGTTGCTGGCTGTACCTCCTACACATCATTTCATAGACTGGTAAAAGTGTTTGTGTAAAGGGGAGTAGGGACACCCCAAGACAGAAGCGGAGGTGAAAACACTGACTTGTGATGACATTCTTGGAGGGGATTACTATACTTCATGAAGCAACAGTGTTCGGCACAAGCAGGGAGGCCGTAGTGCTCA